CTGATATAAAAAAAATGATTAAATAAAATAAATGTGGGGAGGGACATCTCTTTCTTACAAATTATAACCAATAAATGTAGAAGGAAGTAGAATAGAAAATCACCATTAGAACATCAGAGTAATAATTGCTGCAGGCAAGACCTACCAATTAATGCTAAAATTAGTGGCCAAAGATTTAAGGAGAAGCAATATTTGTGTAACCTCAAAGTATTTTCCCCCAAATATTTATTAATCAAGGGAAAAACAGTAACTTTACAGTGGATAAATGTGGCAGACATCACCAAAATCAAGTGATCAACGTTAATAACATCACCAATAGTGAGACATACTGACATCATGTTACCCCTGATATCATGTGCTGAGAAGGATTCATCACCTCTCTGGTATTCTTTCCCAAAATCTGTAAATTCAATCTAACTATGAGAAAAATCAGAGAAAACCAAATTGATTGACAATCTACAAAATACCTGACCTGTAGTCTTCCGAAGTGCAAAAGTAATGAAAGAAAAGGAAAGACCAAGAAGCTGTCAGAGACTGGAGACATAGGGAATGTGATAAGTAAATATAATGTGGGACCCTGGAAAAAGGACATTAGTGGAAAAATTGGTGAAATCCTAATAAAGTCTGTAGTTTAGTAGCCGCTGTTCATTCTTTAGTTCTGAACACTGCACCAAGGTTACATAAGAGACTAACATTAGGGGAAACTGAATGAAGAATATACAAAAGCTCTCTATTATATTTAGAATTCATTTGTGTCTAAAATTATTCCAAAATAAAATGTTATTTTTTAAAAAGGAAGCTTTAAAAAAACCCCAGCCTTTATCCCTCTCTTTCAAATGTGTGTATACCTTTCTTGATAGCAAATTTTGTGAATAAAATTGTTTTTTCTCTAAAAAAATTATTTGGCAGAAAACAAAATGTGTATGAAGAAAAGCTTTAATAACTACATTACTAGGCCGGCCGAGTGGCTCAGTTGGTTAAGAGCTCGCTCAAGGGTTTGAGCTCTGAGCAACAGCGGTTCGAGTCCAGCCTGAGCTGAGTTGCCGCTGAGCTGCCAACAGGTGGCAGGATGGCTCAGCTAAAAAAAAAAANTGTTGTTCGCCATCTTAGTGTAGAGGGCGCAGCGTCACTGGCCCTCATGTGGGATCCGAACCGGGACCCTGCTGCTCAGAGCTGGCGTCCCAAGCCAACTCCTAACCAATGTGCCACTCGGCTAGCCCACACAATCTCCTATTCTTAACTCTCTACTTCACACTTCTCACATTTGTCATTATGAAGGAAAGATCTTGTTTAAAAGAATGGATATTTTAAATCAAAACAAGTATTTTCTAGATATAATGTTTGGTTAACAATGTGCCAAACAGTACATGACAGCCCCACAGAACGGTTATAATTAAACTGTAAATTTCACATTCTTTGCCACATGTAGTACCACGGACATACACAGAAATGCATTATTAAACAACCCAGTGTGTCAAATCCTGATTAACTTAACTTACTTTCAAAGGAAAAGCCTTTTGTTTTTAAATTCGGAACAATTTCTTTGCCTCTTTATATTTATACACTTGCTCTAAAACATTAAAAACAACCTCATAAACAATCTGTTTAACAGTAATTAGAATTTTATCTAGTTAAACAACAGCAAAGCACGCCACAACACAGATGGCACAAGACTCTCCTTTCCTGATCATTCCTGATCAGTGTCAAGGAACTGTCCTCCTGTTTCATGATTAGGAAGAATTTTGTTGCAGGGTATCTCGTTTACAAAATACACATTATGAGTGAAAGGAAAGCTTAATTAAGAAAGCCTTTGTTCAGTAGAGCTTTTGGCTATTTCTCAATGTAAAGATTTTCTTACTGCCCAGAAAAAACCTAGCCAAGTATATGATTAAGGAAGCAGAACGGATGGAAGTCTGTACTATTGATTTCACTCTGGTTCCAAGTCCTTAAGAACACTAATTCCTTATGGAGCAGGTTCCCAAACTTGGAGCTTTTAAAAATCCCAGTGCTCAAGTTCCACCCATACCAATTACATCAGAATGTCTGAGGATGGGACACGTATCAGTATTTTTAAAGATCTCTACCTGGTTCCAGTGTGGTTTATTATTAGCCATGTGGCATGGTACCGTGCCCTGAATGGAATCAGGAGGGCTAGAATCCCACACTGGCTCTGCCACCAGCAAGCCTGGCCACGTCACTGGGTAGCCATTTCCTCATCTATAAAAAGATAAGGTAGGACAAGTTATTTCTTTCTTTTTTTTAAAAAGATTTTATTGGGGAATCAGGGAAGGGGAACAGACAAGTTGCTGTCCTTTTGTTCTTCAGTCTAGTTGTGGAGGACATTGCTTCACTGGCCCATGTTGGTANTAAAGAAAGATGTTTATACATTATCTCCTGTGAGGACAAACCTTGGAGGTTCATTTCCAAACTAGTTTCTTTACTGCCCTAAAGGCTACACAATGACATTGATCAGGGTCTACAAAATTAAAAAGTCGAATGCTGGGCTGAATGTGTCACCCCAAAATTCATGTTGAAATCCTAACCCCCAGTGTGAAGGCATTTGAAGGCGGGGCCTCAGGGAGATGATCAGGGCTCTGCTCTCATGAATGGAATTAGTACCCTTATAGAAGAGGCTCCAGAGAGCTCTCCACCGCTTCCGCCATGTGAGGCCAGAGAGAAAAGACAGCCACTTATGAACCAGAAAGCCGATCCTCACCAGACACCAAATCTGCGGGCACCTTGATCTGGAACTTCCCAGCCTCCAGAACTGTGAGAAATAAGTTTCCACTGTTTATAAGCCACCCAGTTATCTTATTTTGTTAGAGCAGCCTGAATGGACTAAGATACTGACCATTCTTTTTTAGTCTGAATACCATCAAAGATACGAACAGAAAAAATTTCAAAACAAGTCTAGCTAAGTCCTTTCCTATTCAGCCATATATACTCTAAAAGACAAGTAGCATTATTTAATTTAAAGAAGAAATTATGTCTTATCTTTGATACACACATATCTAATTTTAATGATACTGTCAAACTGGTAATGACTCAGTATTTGATTTTTAAAACATTTTATGTTGGCCTAGGAAAATCTAACAAGTTTGTATGGAAGATTACATGGAAGAAAAATATCAAAGTGTGAACTTTTCTTTAAGTTTATTTCTCTTTCTTTTACTTTTAAGTACCATACTGAAATATAAATCAGGGAGGATTTTAAAAAGATATCTTAAGATATGATTTTATAGAGGCAAAAAGCTTTAGCACTATCTTCTTATATTATCCATCATTTAAAAGAGAATTCGTAATCATAAGTCACAGTCTATGAATCAGATAGGTACTTTATTAACACAATTCAGTTTAGACCACAACCAAACACACATAATACTAAGGTGGCCTCATTCACATATATAAGCTATAAAGATTCATATCAATTCTTTCTGCAGCTTAATTTTATCCTTCTTAATTCAAATGTATGAGCATTCTAATTCTAAATCTATACTGAATTAAATATAAAATGTATGATGGTATAAAATGAAGCAGGCATTCTCACAGATAAATTCCCATATTTCTCCCTTTAAAAAGTAAATTTTACAAAGTTTTAAAATTGCATTTATAAGAACACAAGCAAAGATACCGCAAGAAAATCTATTAAGAATCCAAACATATCTCAGATTATGCATGACATAAAAAAGGCTGTTTTTCAAATCAAATAGTTCTTAAGAAATGAAGATTTCAGAAACTTATTTTGTTAAAATTACCTAGAAACAAACAAAAAAATATTCTTTTAAAGATTTTGGTTTCTAAAACAAATTCAAAAGAGAAATTCCTTTATTTGATATTGCTTGGGAATTCTAATTTATATGACATGTTTAAAAAAATATGTTTTCTATTTTCTCAGTCAAGAGATTCCTGAGAAGCCTAGCTAACATTTTATAAATTTTCTAGGCTCAAGTTTTAATTTCTCCTTCTATCTTATGCTTTTTAAACACTCAGGTATAAATGATTCAGTATAAACTTGAGAAACATAATTGCAACTTTAACCACTAAACATAGTTTTATATCAGAATGTTTTCATTTAAAACTTCATATACTCCAAACCACTGTTACTAGGATAGACATTAAAAACACATAATCGTTTTTCTCAAAATATTACATTTCTGTTTACATTTTACCAAGCAAGACAAATTGTAATTAAATACATTAGTGTGAATATTTTTTAGAGCAAGGACAAGCTTCATCTTTATTATATTAACTTTTATTTTTGGAAACTTAGGCAAAATAAAGACTTCTGCTTAGAAATAAACACATGGCATTTAGCTGATCACAGAAATCAATTATTTCAGAAAATTAATACGTTTTCCTAAGAAATAATACAGATCCTTCACTTCAAGAAGTTAGGCCTCAGGTTGGAGCATACATACTTATATGCATATTAAAATCTCTAATTAGTTTTCATATACAACAACACTTACTGACATCTAGAATTGGTTAGCTATGACTTCACATATTATAATTACACAGCATAGTTAAGTCACCCTTATTAAATCTTCTAGGCTACCAGTCAGCAAAATTTTCTTAAAGGGCCAGATTTTAGGCTTGCAGGCCACACAGACACTGTGACAACTAATAAACTCTGCCACGGTAGTGTTAACACAGCCATAGCCAACATGTAATGAATGGGTGGCCTATGTTCCAGTGAACCTTTATTTACCGATCCAGGTGACTGGCCGGTAAGCCACAGCTTGCCAACTCTTACACTAGGCAAACAGATCTGATTATCAAAATACAACACCTTCAGTAAACATATAATCACATGTTCTCCTCATACCTGGAAGCTGATATATGGAACATTAGCTATCATATAAAGGAACCAAGGAAATAGTTTTTGAGGTCAGACTCTCAGGTAGACTGAAAAGTTAAAATGTGTTAATAAAGCACACATTATAATATAAGTTTGGAAATGTAAAGTAAGAGTATGATTAAATCTTATTAAACAATCTTACCTTAGTCAAATGAAAGAATCTAAACTCTAGTGCATGTCTGGTTTCAAACTCAAAATATATTTGATCAAAACTTCAGTTTCTTGTCAAATTCCTGGAGAAACAAAATTAAACAAAATTCAGTCAGGTTCCAATACTTGATAAAATGGGGTAATCACACTCCAACCTGTCTCTCTGAGTGAATGTAGCTATAAGATCTAAATAGAATACATGGAACAACTACTTGAGCACTAAGAAGTAAAGAGGAGCAAGCAGATTGGGCAAGAAGACCAGAATCTGAAGTACCACTGAAAGAGCATTTTGTTTCCCACTGGTATCCTCCAGCCTGAACTTAACACAGCTCCAAACCCAGAAGTAGGCATCAGCACAGAGAAAGCTTCAGGGGAAGCCATCTAGTGCTGGCTCCAGGAGAGGCAAAGGCATCTCCTAACACAAGAAAGTTTGAAATCTGATAAAATATGTATAGGATCTGTATACTAAAACTATAAAATGCTGATGAAATAAGTCAGAGAAGACCTAAGTAAACAGAAAGGCATACTGTGTTCACAGATTGCAAAACCCAAAGTAGTAAAGATGTCAATTCTCTCTCAAACTGGTCTTTAGATTTAACAGAATTCCAATCAAAATCCCAGGATCCTTTGCAGTTATAGTCAAGCTGATTCTAAAATTAATATGGAAAGGCAGAAGAACTAAAGTTGCCAAAATTATTAAAAACAAATTTTAAAAAAGAAGAAAGCTGGAGGACTTACCCTATTCAATTTTAAGACTTCAAGCAATACTCATAGTTATCAAGACAGTGCGATACTGGTGAATGGACAGACACACAGATCAGTGGGACGGAACAGCGTGTCCACAAACAGCTCCACACAACATGGCCAACTGATTTTTGACAAAGGTGCAGGCACAATACAATGAGAAAGGAATAGTCTTTCCAACAAATAGTGTTGGAACAGCTGAGCATCCAATGCAAAAGGCACATGACAAGATATTCAACATCATTAACTATTAGGAAAATGCAAATTAAAACTACTATCAGATATCATTGTAAACCTATTAGAATGGCTAAAATTAAAATGACTGAGTATACTAAGTGCTACCAAGTAGGCAGAACCACCACAACTATCATACATTTCACGTGAGACTAAAAGCTGTACAGCCACTTAGAAAACAGTTTGGCAACTTCTCATAAAGTTAAATTATACACTTACCATATGAATAAGCAATCCCACTACTATGTATTTACCCAAGAGAAATGAACTCACATTCACACAAAAGCCTGTACACAAATATTTATAGCGTCTCTATTCAAAATAGCTAAAAACTTGAAACACCTCAAAGTCCTTCTATGAATAAATGGATAAACTGTAGTATATCCATATAATTGAATACCACTCAGAAATAAAAAGAAATGAAGTATATATACAAAACAACTTAGATGACTCTTAAGGCAATATGCTGAGTAAATGCAATGTGTAACAGTCTCAAATGGCTACATACTGTATGATTCCATTTAATGGTCATTTTTGAAAAGACAAAACTAAAATGACATGGTGTGCCAGGAATTACCGGTGGGGTGGGGAAGGTATAACTACAAACAGATTGAACGAAGGAGTTTAATGAATTAATCAAACTATTTGGATATGGACTGTGATGGTGGTTACATGAATCTCCAGACATGTTAACATTCATCAAATATGCACAGAAAAAGTCGATTTTATTGCATGTTCATTTAAAAAAATAAATTTCTGATAATTAAACAAGTAACCTTTAAATCATCAAGGTTTTTCCAGGATATTTAGTTTGGATTTGATAGTCTGTAAAAATCCTCTTGTTTTTCTGGCTACTTTTAAGATAGAGCAAGTGACAAATTTCTCAACTCAGTCTAGGCAAGTAGAATCACTGGGGGATCAATAGCCTAAATGTTGTTCCTCTAGGCATTGCATCACCTAAAGGGATCTAATCTGCTAACAATCACAACCACACCTAATTGAAGAGTAAATCCTGATGTCTACTTAATGGCATCATAAAAAAGCTTTCATTAAAGCTGTCTTTTTTTTTTTTTTTTTTTTTT